AGGGTCTTTTCTGGGGTAAAGAAAACTACAAGTCATATAATTTAGATGAAATGAACGAGTGAAAACATCATGAGGATTATTCTACATTCGATTTCTGACAATAGATCCTTTCACCTGAATCTGACTCACTGGAGCTTCAATGTTACAATTAGCCACGAGCTAACTTTGCTAGTTAGCAGCTTCAATAAATATATCCACTCTAACTCACTGGGTCATACCAGAAAGGCTAAAGCAGGAAAAAGCTCTCGAATTATCTACCAACATTGTTTATATATATTTTAACTTGTTAACTGATGAAAATACTTTTATTTTTCAGTTTTAGACACAAACTTGACGGCAGTGAAGCAGTGAAAGCGAAAGTAGAAGATGAAACTGACGAGAAAGGCTGAAATAGTGATTTGTTGTATTTTGTGTGACTCAGCTGCATCATGACTCAGTCGCTGCTTCAGTTCTCTGTGTGGAGGCGGAGCTCTCACTCTGAGTTTTGGTGGTCACACCTGTGACTTTATGGAATTTCCAAAGCTGATGGAGATTGTGACTCAGTTTTCCTTTTGAGTGAGCTGCTCCTTTAATTCTTCCACAGACTCACACTCTGAGTGAACAGTTTTAATGGATCTTTATTTTTCCGTCTTTTCGTTTTTCCTTCAAATTTTCTTCTTTTCTTTCAACCAATCGTCTTGTTTCTTTTTGTTCGCGTCTTGTTCCCTTCTCACATTTTATTTTTAAATCTCATCTATCTCCTCTTTCTTTCTTCATTCCTCCTCTTTCGTTGTTCTCTTCCTTTTCTTTCTCTTGAAATTCAAACTTCACACGTGTCATATTACCAGAGCTTGACCAGCAGAGGGAGTCAACACTCAAAATATTTCAATTAAAACGTGTGAACGGTGGTAAAGATAAAAAATATAGTTTATTTCATTTAGAATCTCAATAACAAATTCATATAAATACAGAAATTCACATAAAAACACCCTAAATATTGTTTTCAATTCAGTGAGCTCACTTTGAACATTGAGGTGAATGTTTTCATAAATATTTTTATACATATTTAAAGCTTTAAGAAATTCAAAACAAAAGTAAAAAAATATAAAATATTCCTGCTCTATGAAAAAGAAGAAGTACGAATGTAAAAGATCCTCTGAGAAACTTCGGCTGTGGATGATAATGATGTTTTACCACTTTGTTCCTCTGGGAATTAAAAAATACTACATTTCACATTTTCTTTAAACATGAAATCATATCGTCCTAAAATAATAAATCAAGTTTCCTCTCAGGATTTTAAATAACAAATTATTCAAGTGCTTGAAAAGTCCAGTTAAAAAACAATTAAAACAATTCTAAAATAATCTTTAACCTGAAAATAGTAATGTCAAATGATGATGACGAGGATGAGGCTGATGATGAAGATGAGGATGGTGAGCAGAGGTCACCAACACGGTGCCCGCGGGCACCAGGTCGCCCCCGAGGACCACGGAGTCGCCCACAGTTCTAAAAATAACACAACTCACCAGTGAGCTGCGTCTGAAATCTGATATGCGTTTCTAATTAAATTTAATTATTTACTTTTTATACTTTAATAGAAATAAAGTGTTGAATATCGATATCATCTGTTTCCCACCTTGTTAAGTTATTGTTGATAATGACTGTGTGAAATCATGAACGTGATCAGCGTCTTCACATCGATGAGTCTCATTTATCATTAATAATAATATATCACTAAAGGCAAACTGAGCGAATGTGCAAAGTGTTAGCTCCTCGTATGACTCAGCACCCATGAAGCAGCTCTCAGTTGCACAAAGGTTGGTGTCCTCTGCTCTACAGGATGTGGTGCTGTGCGAGCTCGTCGATCCATCGGAGGATGAGGGTAAATTCTCCGACAGCCTTCAGTGCGACTTCATCTCTTCTCTTCTGCAGAAAGTTACAGTCATTCATTCACAGTGAAATCACAAGCAGCATATTTCATCTATTTAAGTACATGACTAAAGTACATCTTATCAATAACT